CTCTCAGCCTGTCTTCATAGGTGGGGTGCTCCAGCCCTCTGATCGTCTTTGTAGCCCTCCTCTAGGCCTGCTCCAAGAGGTCCATATCCTTCTTATGTTGGGGGCCCCAGAGCTGGACACAATACTCCAGGTGGAATCCCATAAGAGCAGAATAGAGGGGTAAAACCTACTCCCTTGACCTGCTTGCTGCATTTCTTTTGTTGCAGCCCAGGACATGGTTGGCTTTCTGGACTGTGAGCGTGCAGTGGTGGATTATATTGGGCTTCTTGTCAACCAGCACCCTTAAGTCCTTCTCCTCAGGGCTGCTCTTAATCTATTCTCTGCCCAGTCTGTATTTGTGCTTGGGACTGCCTCAATTTCCATGAACTTGTAAAAAGTCTTTGATAGGAGATGATTGCTTTTAAAGACTTGGTCAAAAGTGATGAAAAGGATAGCTATGCAATGCAAGGGCATCTGATATCTGTTAATATTGAGAGCGTATTTACATATTTTAACTGACAGAGTGAAGTTGTCTGAAACATAAGTCAGAGATCACTCTGTAGATTGAAGTCACAAATATTACTTAATAAATGCCAATTAGCACCTTAAGCTAGACCCCCTCTGCAGAAGATGTCACCTTTGACACTATGAAATGCTCACAGTGACAAAGTCTAAATATTTCCTAACATTTTCAATAGTTCATAATGCCACCAGCTCACATTTATGACAATTACTATTTGATGAGCTCTCATTTCTATTCAGAGAGGCAAAGGGCAAGGTTGTGAGAATGGTTAAAACAGAGGAGACAAAAACCAACCAAAACCCAAAGCCTTTAACTTTCATCTTGAGTGTGTTTTCCTTCAGGTCAGACGGAGAGCCAGAATTTAATGTAACAACACTGAACCTCAGACCTAGCAGAGTTTTCCTCAGTGAGCTTATGTGGGCAAGGTCTCTGTGAATGCGTTTGTCCTAGATCATACATTGCAAGTAATGCAGACAATACCCAGAACTGACAGCAGAGGGTAAACCCTGAGCCCTTGCAGATGAGGGTGAAATGGAACCCAGCGCACCACCAGCAGCCCCTAAAATTCTAGAAGGGCACCTTCATGGCAGGAATGGAAGACACAGGGTTAGTGTACAACATCATGCTCAAAGCTGCAACTTTATTTGCCTGGGTTTGCGTCTTGTCACACCTTAGAGCAGTGGGAAGCATTGTTTGTCCTTTGTTTGTTTGACAAGAATTTATGTAAAGGCAGTTTCCCTCAATGTTTGTCCAGACCTTTAGCTCAGCAGTGGGGAATCTAATTTATTGCAAATCAAAACCAGAACAAAGTGGAAGGTGATTGTAAAACCAAAAATATTGGCAGGGGACAGTCTTGTATTTGAAAGTACTCACACTTTTTAAGGTACAGAATTTCAGGCTGCGTCAGTGTCTTTGCAGTAAAACAAAACTGAATTATACTTTTTTCTTTAAATAAAAAGCAAAAATAACTTTCATGGAATACTGTCCCAAAGTGATGAATTGGGTACCCTTCAGGAGGGCTTTGCACAAAACACAGGCTCTCTGAATCAGCAAGCCAAAGTTAAATGGATCCAAAACCTGCATGGACACAGAAGTGACAGTAAAGGAACTGTGTCTGGTAACAAGTGAACTCTGCCCTTTTTTTTCTGCCCACACCTCTTTGTTTTGATGACAGGGGACCTTTTAGGTGGCTGCCTGTAGTCATTAGGCACACAAAGAAGTCGTGGGAGTTGCAAGCATATCCTTGTGAATGCCTAAAAGGTGGGCTGTGCAGTCACTTCAACAAGACCTCAAGATATGAAAAGCACCTTGCTGTGCTGTGCAGCCACTGTGCTATGCCCAGAGTGTCAAACATCTGCCAAGCAAATCACACTTCAAAAAGGCCAGGGTGCAAGTCCACACCTGAGCAAGCACCTTCAAATCAAGTAGATGTGAAGTAGTAGATCAAAGCCCTGCAGTCGAGATTTGAGGAGTGGAGGTTCTCACCTACAGTCAGTCACTGCATTTTCTCTTGGCAAGAAGTGGCTAAGAGATGGGAGACAGTAGCTTTCTGAAGTGTCTGGAAGTGTCTCTGGGAATGCCCTGACAATGCAAAGACAAAGAGGTTAGTTTTTTGGGTCCTACTCTCTACCCTACTCAGGGGTATGTTTAAGGGTGCCCCAGTGAAGGTGACTTGCCTTATGCTGTTTCACAGAAGCAAATTGTGAACATTTCTGCAATGACTTATGGCATAGTTGTACTTTAGGAAGCTACTGATATTTTGGGCATTTCTCCTCTCAGCAGAGGATTCATACCTGACTAGAATACTAAAGTCCCAAATTGGTATGAACTAATTGGTATGAACTAATGCAATAGGCATAAATGCTCATTAGTTATCTTGGCAGACTTCATGTGAGTAAGCTTAGGGTTCGAAGATCAGTTGTATAGTCACAGTATTTTAGAAGTGTGGGATGTTGTCAATGAGGCTCTAACAAAACTCCCTGCAAGACATGCTTATAAAACTTTTTAAAGCCATTGAAGATATGTTGCTAATGGGGAGAATTTTTCATGTAATATGATAAAGTTTGAGGAGAAGAGTGTAGACTTACCTTTATTTTCTTTTTATATTGAGATTGACAAAAATCCTAATTTATTTTGTATATAGGTATGTAATTGTTGGCATGGCAGACTGCCATGTGCTGTTTTACCTGGAGTGCTGATAACAGAAAGCATGTTATATAGGAGATTAACATTATCTTCTTAGTTCCAGGAAAGAATAGCAATAGCTTTTTATTGTGTTTAAAGTGTCTGTGGTAGGTAGGCTCCCAAACACACTGCTCAGCAATTCACAGTTTTCATGTCATTGTGGCCAGAAAAACTGTGCTCAAGAGTGCAGGTCTTCTCACGCTTAAGAAGGTTTGCATCTTCTGTTTCTGGCAACAAAGCCATGCTTCATTAATGTTTGATTGTTTAGTTTTCTGCTATGGAAGAGGCTATGGGAAGGGGCTTGAACTGTGTAGCTGCTGTCATCTGAACATGAAGGTCTAACTGAGATAAATCACTCTATGCACATATGGTTAGAGTAATTTAAAGGATGATTCAGGAACTTCTGATGTTGGCTGCTGCACAGGTAAAAGTCTGTATTAGGTAGAATTCTGACCCAATTTATCCCTCTCAATATCATTCAGAATCTTTAATCTGAAAAAACCTACTATTTAATAAGCCAAATAATGACAATGCCATAGGTCCTTCATGGACTAAACATTGTCCTGTTCAAGAGAGCAGCTACTTCTTCCACACTTATCAAAATGTCAAGACACATAATTATACTGATAAGCATGCCCATGTCTCAACAAGCATTTTAGGCTTGGTGAGAAGCCTTATTCTGAAGTGAAGCTGTCCACCCTCACTTACCATGCCTTGACCTACCTAGTAGAGTGGTCTTGGGTTGCACAAAGTGGGCACCTTTAAGGTGAATAAAACCCAGAATTGTCACTCCTGCAACACTGCAGAAGCTGTGGCATTCAGTCCATGGGAACAGACTGTAAATAGTTTGTGCTAAACCCTTCACCCCAAGGAGGCATCAAGTGTTAGCACCAAATTTCTCTCTACAGATCTGCTCCTCAGTAAACTTGCTAATGGAGACATAGTTTAAATGACTCCTCTGTGGTTCTGGGTCCAACTACATTTAAGTAATTACAAATATTTTTCGCTTCCCTGAGGTCTGGATCAGGCACTTTTTCCCCAGCCTTCTCTAAGTAAGCTCTTTGACAGACTTTGGAATACATATAGTGGGTTGAGAAGGAGAGGACGGAATTGCTGAAGCCTGAAAGTCTAGATCCATCAATATTTTGAAAGCTTTCTTTACCTTAAGATCAGCTATCAGCTGAAATGGCTACCTGAGATCTGTTGAATGAGAACTCTTAAATTACATAGACACAGGAAACTTTTTCCTGACAGCTGATCTGCTATGCTTTGGAGCACAAGTATTAGAAGGCCTCTAATATATATCTGCCAGTATAACTTGGCAGTCCATCCTGAGATGCTTTCAGAGGAAAAACTGCCATGTTAACTGCAATCAATTTAGACCGATACACAGCAAATGAATGTGTTTACTTGGCATTTTTGGCACAAACATAAACTTTTTATTAAGTGCATTCAATATAATTGTATAATGGCATATAGCATGCAGTTTCAATGACATATTGGAAGCAATCCCAGTTCTATTTTTTTGTCCTTAAAAATAGATATAATGTTGTAACTTTAAAGTAAAAGTCACCTGGGAGTTACTTTGTCTGTTGTGGATGTGTGATGAAAATCCTGAGAGCCTCAGAAATTGAATGTTGGCAGCTGTGAGATTTCATTTTACTCATTGACGATTGGATGCAAATGTGAGCCAAAGCAACTGACACCGTATTGCTCATATCTGACATGCCACTGCTGAAAAAGTGTCATAAAAATGAATCACCTCTGCCCTGACATTATTCATGTTGTCTATAATCTCCACGCATACAAAAAATAACATAAAAATACACAGAAAATGAAACCAAGGGAAAAGGCTACATTTCCACTGCCTTGGACTGCTTCTCTCTAAAGCTGGTGTGCAAGAAACTCCTAATAAATGTAATAGGGGCTACCTGAGCCCTCAGGGGACTTTTATGAAGACTTTCCTTAAGCTGAACTCATGCTAATATTCCATGTAATTTTCATCCATGTGCATCTGAAATGACCTTCATTCCCCAGCAGGATGTTTTTAGCACTATAGCAGGAATAAAGACTGCCCATGGACAGCTGAAGTTAAAATACTTCACATGGCCCAAGGTAATGTTCCATCTCATGTTTGGATAGGTTTGATTTAAAATACATGTTGGAACCTGATAAAGGATAATTTTTGGAAGAGGGTCTATTTTATGCCAGTAAAGTATTTTCACTCTTCCAGGGGTGACTGATGACTTGTGCTAGGTTTCTTCTCCAAATCACCCTAGGGAGGACTATGTTGTTCCATGATTACAGTAAGCACATAGAGCTAGGCATCCCTAGATCAAAGACACCCTTTGCAAAGAAGCACTGCTGTGTATATTCCACAGGGGAAAAAAAGGTGCAGTGCAGAAATGGTGACACATGGGGGAAAGAGAAGCATGTGGGGCAAAGAATGTGCTGGTGACACTCACCCAGCCCTGATGCAAACATGCTGGCATTCATGATGATGGAACACCTCTCAAAGCAGACTTTCAAATATAAAAGATCTTGTCTGCCTTATTTTTAAGCAGAATTCTTGGCTGATCGGTTCACAGGGATACTACACTTTTGCTCAAGAGATTACTTCATGCCTAGAGGCACAATGCTACTTTGTGTGTCTCTCTGAGCCCTCAGACAAAATGCTCCTGAAATGCCACTTGTGCTGTGTTTGCAAAGCTGAGTATTCCACAGCTGGGAGCAGCTCTGCCAGCTGCGGGTGGATGCGGTAACAAAGAGAGTTGCTTCTGAACCTGGAACCAAACTGCTCAATTTTCCTTTCTTCTTTTGTTTTGTGGTTGGATACCCACTAGTGTGCTCAGCATTGCTAGGACCCTGGACGTTTTGAGCCTGTGGCATTGCTTTTATAGTTTTGATAAAATCATTTTAGTGTGTCAAATCTTACCTGTCAGGGACTTTCCTCAGTGCTGGTGGATGCTGTTCTGTGTGCTGACATGCGGCACAAATATTACTGTTCGTTTCCTTGCTGTAGTTTTAATATGCATTTCTTTGATCCTGCAAACAAACTTTACCACAATATAATTAGAAATGGTTGAAGTGTTCCATTTGGAAGATAATATCATACTTTCCTCAACTGTATATAGCCCACATACAACAGAAGACCAATCTGTAGCATCATTGCCATGACAGACTCATGTATTTGTTCTTCCACATAAGTACAACTTTTTCAACATGCTGTTGGATTTTTGGTTGTGAATTCTGGGTTTATGGCAGCTGGTCCAAACACCATTAGTCATAGCATGGAGCCTAATTCACCCTCCGTCTGCAAAATTCTACTGCATCATTATCTATTTCGAGCTCTGTCTGCCTAATAGTTTCCCCTCCTAAACTATTCAGCATTTTCTTTGCAGACTGATCATGCATTGGTAGCCATTCAAATATTATATCAGAGCCCTTAAAGGTCAGTTCCAACAGTAAGTGAACAACCTTGTCATACACAAACTCTTGGTGTAGCTTGACTTTCCTGTGGTAATCCTGCACTGAGTACTGAAAAGCCTACTCAGGCATGCATTGTTAATTCATTAAAGAAATATAACATTTTAAATAATTTAAAATCCTATTTTAGAGCTCTGAATCTGGTGTTTCTCTGCAAATAATGTCATACTGGATTTTTTTTGCTTCCAATGTTTAGGATTTTAATCACAAAATTTCTTCTCTCGTTAACTGTCATCAAATTGTAATGGGCTTAGGCTTTCTAAATGCTTAACAGTAATGATAATTGTGGTGAATGCAGTCCATCTTCATGCACATTTTTAATGCCAGTAGAGTAGATTTCTTTGTGATAATAGAAATTATTATAATGCTGGCTGAAAATGAATACACTTTCGCTATAGTATATGTGTTAATACATTCCTAAAATTAAATTGCAAGCATTTCAGTCTTTAAAAAACTTTTCAAAGATTGAAATATACTGGATAATACAATATCTTTTATGCATTATAGCATACTAAAAACGCTCAAGCAGTCATATTGCTCAATAAACTGAATTTACTAGCCTTATAGAAAAGCTCTACAGAGTTTAATAGGAAAAGGTAACTTTTTTTACATGCTTTTGAACCTTTCTATATGATGAAGCAAAGAATGAATGCTTGTGGGAGGACAGCTCATAGCTACAGATAGGATGGAACTGTGCTTGGAGTTTTACTCGGTAAAGCATTTAAGCATGTGCCTGCACTGGAGAGAGAGTTGTCCTGCTGAGCGTGAATGGGAGACACAGATGTGCCCACATCTCATTGACTTTCAGGAGAGAGGGTCATGATATGCACTATTTCCTACACAGCAAAGCTGAGAGAATAAGATATTCTGGCACTGTGATGGGTTTTGCGTGAAAAATTGAGATATTGGAAGTTGTAGATTTTCCGCTGTTCAATTCTGTGCCCTTTAATTTTCAAGCTTTCTGAAGTTAGGCTGGTCCTCTTTCCTTACAATGTCTGCTGAGGGAGCAGCTGGCTCAGTAGTGCTGTGACCACAGTGATTCCTCTCCATCTGCATCTTAGAAATGCGGAATAATTTAGGTTGGCCCAGTCCAACCTCTGGCTCCAAGCACGGCCAGCTTCAAAGTCAGACCAGATTGCTGGGGGCCCTGAAGAATCAATATGAAATGCGAAGTCAAGCTGACAGTGTTTTTAATTCACAGTAGGCAGTGCAAATGGAGAGTCATTGCTGATGTTCATTCAGACAACCGGAAATTTGCACAAAGGCTGAAAATGGTGAGGCTGAAAGTTATGGTTATTAAGTCAATTACTACAGCCTAAACTTTGTAGTCTGTCACAGTCTATTTCAACAGGTGGCTTTTCTTTTTTAAGGGAAACTTGTAGTTCTGTTTAAAAAACAGTGCTAGATGGAAGGTTTTTTGCCACAAATAATTGCTATAAAAATGTACTTCAGCAAAAGCCATCTCTCTCTTTTACAGCGAAGTCATCTGTGGAAATTGCTCTCTCTGTGTGAATATTTAATATAATGCTTCAGTCATTGGCCTGGCTGTCCTAAAGGTATGTTAAAATGATGGCTGGCTATAGAAATGTATATATTGAAGGCGAAGAATAGAGGAAAAGTTTAACTTGCTCAGGTACTTCTCTGCCCTCTGTCACCTTACAGTTCTTCTCACATGCATAATAGCAAGAGCTTGAACGTTGTCACATGAAGTGCCAAAGTGCCTGTCCTTCCTGGAGTTTCATCTTGGCTGGGGAAACTGCCTTTTGAGGCACATGGATCCATGCAAACTGTACAGTGGGATGACATCAGGAGGCTCGTTGAAGACCTGAGAGCAAGAGTGTGTTGTAAATGCTGTGCTGTGGGAAATGTTGCTCACATTTGCTTCAAGAGCTCAGTGCTTTAAGGGCCCCAGCGTTGGAGGCAGGAGAAGAGGAAAACAATACATTTCTCTCAGGAAAAGTGCTGGACAAATCAATACCAGCAAAAGTATTTATGTATAGGTATTTTCTTTCTCTAGAACTGACCTAGTGTAGAAGTTTGCCTTTACAAGCTCCTATATAGGCTCTATTGACTAACATGCTAAAATGCAAGTTTGGTAATATTGGAATGACAGAACACTGTTGTTTACTTATGAAAAAAAAACAAAACAAACAACTCCTGCCACTCATGAAGAGCCACAGCCAGAGGGGAGCAAAGGAAGGATGGAAACAACAGTTTTGCTCAATGGGACAGCAAGAGGGAGGGAGGAGGAGATCTGGAGCAGGGGAAGGATTTTTGAAGCAGCCATCACAAAGAAAATCATACTCCTTTGACTACCTAATTCCATGAATGCTTATACTTACTGTTTCTCTTGCCAACTTCCTGATCAGATCGGCTCTGGAGCACACGTCTGCCTATGGCTCCATGGAGTTGAACCTCTGGCTTGAAGTAAAGTGCAGTTGCTTAAGTGCTTTCCTGAATTACATCAGTGAAAGGGCTGATCCAAGGCCCATTCAAGTCAACAGAAAGATCTCACCTTAGCCCTGATGAAGCCAAAGCAGAGATGATCAGTAGCCTTAATGGATGCTGCTATCCAAGCACACAATGTTTTGGCTTGTATCCTCAATCATAACACTGACACTGTTCTTCCCTGTGGGGAAAAATGTAAACCCAAGACTTCACCCTGTATTTTAGACATTCAGCTTGTATTAGTTACTGATAAAGATCATGTATTCTGATAGAAATTCTTCAGAATGTTTTTTTAAAGATTTTTTTCTAAAGAACACAGACTACTATGTTCTTATCTGGCAGCATAGCTTGTGTGCAGAAGCCAAAAATAATTGTATTGACTCCTCCTGGCTCTCCTTTAGAAACAAAAAGCGGCAGCCCATTGTCTATTCTTTCTAGGAAGTCAGTGGGAGAAGTTTTCAAGATGAGGAATGTGGAATGCACCGGCATACTGCTGCTCACACCTAACAAATGACAGGATTCCTGCTTTTCAATTTTGGGTTTAGGGGCATCTGCTTTTAAAAGTGCCTTATTTAAATGGGCCTATAGTGGTAAATACAGCATAGATAGCAAGATCTCATAATATTTCAATTTGTCCAACCCTGCAACAGGTAGTGTAGATAATAATCTAGGATTATATGTGAAGCAAGCGTATCTCTCAGAGTAACTTTATTGTGCCACAGTTTCAATTATTTTCAGAGCAAACAGTTGTCTTCATTTCTGCTTCCTAGCTGGTACACTTATGCTAAATACTTTGGAAAAAACAGAAGTCTCTATGAGCACTTTTCTAAGATGCCAAATATTTGTAGTGTTTGTAAATATACTTACTGTGTAAGTATATATATATATATATATATATGAAGATGTGGGAATGGAGATAGCTCTTAAATGGTTAGCCAGGGCTTTGAGGTATGTCAGCAAGAAAGCCCATTCCTGCTTTCCTCATTGGCAAAGGAGGTCTGTCAATTAGTCAGTGCAATGGAGCTGTGCAAAAATACCCTTGTAAACGTAAGCTGCTGCTAATTACTAAGCTGCCTTCAGAGGCAGGTTTTTAAACATTCAAAATCCATAACAAATATGGTGTTCCTGCTCCTAGCCCTCCCCTTATCCTTCTCCACTCCTTTCCCTGCAAAGCAAACTACTTTCATGTTTTATTTATTTGTCAAAGAGCTTTGTAGTAGTGGGTCCTTTAAATCTCCTCGATGCTGACATTTTTGCATCACTTCAAAATAGCACAGAAAAATGATAGTGTCCTCTTGGTACTGGGGCTCAGCATGAAATTCCTGTCACAGTGTTTGTTGTTGCAGTGTTTCTCTGAGCTTAGGGATATCGGCTGGCAGGAGATTTCCTCTCTTAATGGAATTTTTAATTTTGATTCAATTCAGAGTTATGCAGACAAGGAGCCCCACTGATGCCTACACGGGGAGGAGGCCCCGGCTCAAATTCTGGTCTAGCTCAGCTGCTGCCACCACAAGCTTCTCAAGAAGCATTCACCTGTTGGGAGAAAAAGGAGTGGGAAGGAGGAGGAAAGCACACTGGCTTTCTGAAAAAGTTAGTTCTCCTTCCACTGAAGCTTCTCTTCTGGATGTCTGATGGTCTGATTCCAGTGTGCTAAGTAACAGCACCCTATGGCAGGCTGCAGCAGTAGGGATTCTCATTTACTTTTATTACAAGGAAGCTTTACTCCATCACATTCAAGGATAATTAAGCCAAAGTATTTCTTACTCTTCCTCCATTAAAGGAGTAGCTTTGATTTCGCAGCCAGGCCTTCAGGGTAGGTTTTATGTATGAAGCACATATATTTTCAGTCATCCTCAGAGACCTCCCTCAGTTAAGTTGGTGTAACTACATTGCATCTGATGCAGTTGCTGGTGATTTACCCACCATGAGTGAAGTGTGTCCTGGGCTCTCCTCTCTCTCTCTGCTGATTTCCAAACAATGAGCCAAACAAATGCTTCAAAGCAGAAGTAGTAGCCATTTGTTCATCAGCAGTGCCTATCAGTTTCTTGCAACAATGCTCATGGTTGCTGTTATTTTTTCTTTTTTTGTTCTTCTCTGAGCAGCCCCAGATCTTCCCATACCTATAAATGTGAGTTATACATCCATCCAGGTTTGGGAGAATATCAAAAGTGCCTGGTTCCTTATTTGTTGTATCTGGCTCTGTTCCAGACAGCTGATTAATTTTGATGATTCAGAATCTTTGGCAACAGAGCACTGAAAATATGAAAAAATATACAATAAAATATATTGAAAGCAACTTGAAATGTCAGGTAGAATTCAGTGGAAATAATGTACCCCTCAGGGGAGATTAATGGCATTTCTACACAACACTTCACTTCTTCTGCATTCTAGATGGGCAAATAACCTGTTATTCATGCAATTAATCATGGCTATAGATGTGGATATTCTTTGCATCTGACAAACTCTGCTCTCATGCATTTTCCACCAGGTGTGTGCTTCTCTTCCCTCTTAATTATTTCTTCAGATCCTTTAAACTGCCCTTTGGTCTTCGGACATCTCCAGCTTGCTAGCACCACTCTTTTGCAGGTGACCATTCCCTTCCTTCAGTCCTTTATTTTATGGTGTGGAATGTGCTTATTTTTGAAAGGATTTCTGTTTTAGGCAGGATTATTCTCTCTGACTAGTTTGGGAAAGAAATGGTGCTTTGTCCTCACAGCTGAGGTTTTCAGCTGGCCTTCATGTGAGGGGTACCTCTGCTGAAAGAAGAGGAATCAGAAATTACTCCTACCTGGTATGATGAGGATTTCAGGCTTCGGTGGTGGTCTCATTCTTTGTTTGGTGTTTAAGACTATTCAAATGAACAGAAGAAAAGCAGGAGCTTATCTCCTCCCAGTTGGTGGGTTTTGGTTAAACCACTTCTTATGCCAGTCTTGGATGTTTCTTCCAGCTGGTGAAAGTGGCCAAGCAGAGCTGAGGGTTAGCAGATAGGTGAATTTCACTGTGGAGATCCTTGAAAAACAATAGCATTGTTGACAGCAAGTGATTTTGTCAGAAAAGTCCTTAAATAATTTTCTGTTCTATTCCCCCAGATATGTAGAAAAAGGACCATGAGAGTGTTTCAGACTTGCCATAATGCAAATGTAATGACCCTCAACATAATGTAAGATTATGTCTGAAATAGCTGTCACTTAGGTACCGATGATAATCTGGGTTTATTGAGGAAATGTAGGTCATCAGTAAGAATTGAGCTTGTAGCCTCAAAATTGAAAAGCAGGACTTTCAGGTAAGGGACAAAATGATTTTGTCCTTTGCTTTATTGGCTGCTGGTTCAGAAACACTGGCAGGCTCGTCTGTGGCTGGGGTAAGAACAGAAAGTGGGAGTGTTGCCCCACAGCGTCACCCGGTATCACTCCTGCCAGCTGCGATGTCCTGCTCTTCAGTAAGTTCACAGGAGAGCCCAGACTCACTCATCTCACCGGCCCTCTCAAGTGAAATAGTAAGTCCCAGAGAAGAGCTCTGCACTTCTTAGACACCACTTTGCAGTGAAATAGGCTCCTCCCTTTCATTTAACGTCCTGCTTTTAGCTTTAGCAGAAACCTGACCTCGTTTGCACTACCTTTTCCTACTGCCTCTTGCCTCATGGCTTTTTGCTCACATTTGCCTTGCTTCCCTTTCCTGTGTTTTTCCTGCCCTCACCTTAAAATTCTACTTTTTGCTAATTTTCTTGTCCCTTTCTTTTTCTATGTTGTTATAGTATGTATTTGTTGGTCAATGTCCTGTTCTTTTACATGTTACTTTGACTTGCTCTGGGGCTTTCCTTGGTTTAAGCACTTTAACGCTCCTTTTTCTCATCCCTCCTTTTACTTGCTCCTTTGTTCTCAGCAACAGTCTCACTATCCTTTTGACATACTTTTTATTTCTTTGCTTCTTTAAGTCTCCCCTGGTCCCTTCATCCTCTCACATACAGCTCTTCTACTTCTAGTTTCCTTTACTGTAAACTTCTCCTGAATATTCCAGAGCTTCCTTTAATATTTCATTTCCAGGAGAATTTGAGGGTGCTGCCATGTCTTATGATTTATTGCAGGTCTGAATAGTTTCAAAGAGCAATATTACTGGATTGTAGCCAAAGCATCAAACCCTTCACTGCATTATGCAGTCCAGTGAGATAAGAAGGTGAGTGTGACCACCAAATCCAGCCTGGATCTCCAAAAGCCCCTGCAGAAGGTTTTTAGCTCAAACCCAGCCAGAGAGATGCACTAAAATGTGATAGAGCTGACAGTGAGAGAACACATCAGATGCTGGTTCCTCATTTGTCTCGGTGTGAGATGTCAGGGGCGAGCAGATGTGTTGCTGTGACAGGTCACTCCA